TTGTCCTGCAAAGTGCAAGACTGAAAGCTTTAAGGTTTTCTTTTCAGCATTACTTAATTCAAGTTATGAAAGGGAAGTATTAGATATAGAAGATTGATGGTCTTCAGCCCACAGACATGGAGAGTGATTTTTGAAACATGGAGAAATTTTCCTTGTTTACAGCTTCCTGTAGTAATCAGCTTTGGAAAAACATTTCCCAAATATTGCATTTTTCTGTTTTGTCAATATTTTGCAATATCTCAGTAGTACTTTTCTTGCCCCTGATGCCTTGAGTGCTTTCATAGCCAACAGGATTTCTGAGGAAATTAAGGAGAGTACCTTTGGGCCAACTGAGCGCAGTCACCTCTCAAAAAGCAACCAAACAAGAACAAATAGTGTGCACCTAGTCGTTAAATCTTCAATAGCTGTTTGTGCTTGTTGAGCAAACAAAGCGTCAGAACTCGATTTGTGGCATCCAATTATCAGTGCCAACCTTTCCAAGATATCCTTTAGTGTTCTTCATGTCTGTTCTGAACTGAGGTGGCTTCCCTTGACAAATGCCACTATTAACTGGCCAAAATTTGGATGTGTTTGACTGACAGCTGAAAATACAATTGGTTGGTGTTCCAAGCTGGCTTTAAAATAAAGTTTACAAATTATTTTTTTTTTAACTTTGCATTTCAGTAAGGAAATCAATCAAGCCATTGTTTCTTAGTTGCTTGCCTTGCGGTGTATTCCTGTTTGGCTCCCATGTACCAAGTTTTCTTGCTGCCTACCCTTTTTTTGGTTCTTTTTAAACGTGCCTGGAACAACTGAAGCTCATCTTTCCCAATGTTAATTATTGCTGAAATTGTATTCCCATAAAGCAGCGAAGGTGTTAAAACTGAGAAACTGTTAAAATGTATATTGGAGAGGGAGGGAGGGAGGGAGGGAGGGAGGGAGGAAACCACGTGAAATGATAATGATGTGGTAATGCAGTGGTGGATGCCCTCTCCTGGGCTGCTCAGTTTTGTTGGCCCATCCCTTTTATTTGTGGGAATTGATTTACATTATGCAAAGGTTAAAGATGTGAGGAGTATCATTTTAAAAGTAGGCTTCTTGCATATGGTATTGTTATCTCTGGATTAATAATCTAGCAATGATAGGGTTCAGGTAACCTGGATTCAAATCCTACCATGACAGATGGTGAAATTTGAATTCAATTTAAAAAAACAATTTTGAATTAGGAGTCTAATGGTGACCACCAGTAACTATTGTTGTCGGAGAATCCCATCTGATTCACTAATGCCCTTCAGGGAAGGAAACTGCCTTCCTTACTGTCCGGTTTACATGTGACTCCAGACCCACAGCAATGTGGTTGACTCTTAACTGCCTTCTGGGCAATTAGGGATGGGCAATAAATACTGGCCTGGTCAGTGATGCCCAAATCCTGTAATTGAATTTAGAAAAAAAGGGATATGATGTAGAGGTGCAACTATTTTATTTCCCTGCCTTTCCACAATAATAATGTGGAGAAAATAGTTTGTGTCTTGGCTGAATTATTACACAGTCTTAATAAATTAATAAAACTTGAGGAAATTAAGAGCAGTATTTTTGTTCTGGATGCATTAGCTTAACCTCAAGATGAAGTGTTTGAGTTTACTTTTGGCTTTTAGTGCAGTTTGTTAGACATTATTTCTTCACCTATGGCCTGGGCTCAATTCCAGGGTATTCCCACTGCAATAGTTCCATTAATTAGCACTAAATTTACGATCTCGATGAGGCCGCCAGTTGCTGGTGGGCAGTAGAAAAGAGTCCTTTGTACTGTAGTCTTATTGAAGTGCAAACCTTCAAATGCAGGCAGGATGCAAGGAATTTCCACGTACATTTTCAGGGGTGTGGGAGAGAGGAGGGAGAGACTCTTATTTCTAGGACAACGGTTTTAAAATTACATGGATTTCATTCCCAGTGCAACTAATAAATAATTCACCAATCATTTCCAACAGTTCACTCACACAAAGTAAGAGTGTGGTGCTGCTTTACTGAAATTGAATTCTCAATTAAACTAGGTTTGTTCTTTCTTTTAAAGCCACTTCAAGCAACAGCGTGACAATCCAGATGTGAATTGGAAGGTATGCAGAGATTATATAAACAATAGATTCTGTAAAGGCGTTACATCTCCTGTGACTTTGATATTGACTCAGGGTGTAGGTATTGCCTGATTGACTCGGTTTGAATAATGCCTTGATGCACAGTGACTTTTGTCAAGAGGTAGAGCACGTTTCTTTCGATGAATGTTTACTGTGACCAGTGAAATTGAACAATGGTAAAGGTCAATTTGTAAATTTACTGCAGAGTTACCAAAAAACCTCCTTTCCAGTTTAGTTGTTTCCACTTTGAGCAGTGGGAAAGTCAGAAGAGATGAGGATGGTAACATACCATTATTTGAATGCAACTTTTTTCAGTTCCTCTATCAAAAAGAATGAGGTTTGATGTGAGTACTGCAGATGGCACTGAAACTTTATTTCACACTGTTCCCGTTCCAAACTGATGTACATGAATATTTGTTCTTTGAATTCCCACACATCCTTTTACCACAGCATAATTGATTCTTATTTCTGCTATCTCTCATTGGTAAAAGAATGGATAGTGAGAATGATTATTCACTTTTTTCTTTAAATATAAAAATTCGAAGATCCTCCTTACTGCAATTTTCATAAGGTGTGTATAGTCCAGCTTAGTTTCTGGATCGCAACAACATTTATAACACTGGGGTTTTGATTTCAATCCCATGGTTACTGAAGTGCATTTTTATTGCATTTTGGATTTATCTTGCTATACCTAACTGTTACTGGTTAAATTTGCAACTGGAATTAAGGACAAAATATTTTTAAATTTGAGCCCATAAATAGCCATTAATGTCAACTGGATTTTGTCAAATCATTCCATGAAAAAAATAATTTAACATGAAAAGAAGTTTTTTATTGCTTGTCTCGATGAATTTAGTGCAGGTTTCTGTGAATTTCCTCAGGTTCAATATTGTAGATGACTGGAATAGTTCTTATTTTGCTTGTATTTACAGAGGCGTAGTCTCTGGCCCTTCATGACCCACAATTACTCCATATTATATGCTGAGAGTGAGAACTTGTCATTGGACTGGCAGTTAATCTTAATTGAAGTAAGAGAAGTCCAACATTATTCTAGCCACTACAGTGACGAGTGGCAGATAGGACACTGTAAATTCAGGCTAAAATGACCTTTTGAAGAAAATACAAGGAGGTCGTTAAAAATTAGAACGTTATTTATGGCACATGTATTTCAGAAATTACAGATAAATCAGTTCACGTGAGATGCAAACAAATCCCCATTCCTACAGAACTTCTTTCAGCCCCAGTCAGCTGATTTAAGATTTGTCGATGAGTTCTTTGTAGATTTCCTAAAGAGACAAGTTATCGAGGGATTCCTTGGTCAATCACGTCATGTTCAACTTAAGCTAACTAAAGTAAGCAGTCAAAGTAGCGAATTTGAGAGAAATCTTTTCAAGGTGTTTGTACCAATTAATAAATTTGTCTCCTGGCATATGTCACATGTTTCTTGATTTGAGGATGATGTCTTCTTGGGGACACAGATTTCTGTATTGGCTGTTTGTGATTCGGGAGACCGATATTTACTGGGATCCAAAGCGCAGGATTTGCTTCCTTTTCTTTCCTTCTCTGCTGTCGCTTAATGGACAACTTGTTGCCTTCTTGAACAATCGGCAACAAGTCCTCCCAGTCATTAATATTGATGCACCTGTGCTTCAGTGTCTTTGTCGCATTTTCTTTGTCCTGCCCTGGTAAGCTGTACATTTTGAGAGTTGAGAAAATAAGACTTGGTGAAGGAGACTTTTTTTGACAGCTGGTCACAATTCAGTCCATCAGAGTTGATTCTGCAGGAACTTTTTCACGAATACTTGTGGAGCTGTATTCAAGAAGTATGTTAGCACTTGTACAATGATGTTCTCATTGAATTTGAAAGATGCACGGAAAAGTATTGCTGGTGGAATTTCTCTAGAACGTTTATGCATTGTTGATAGACAGCCTAGGTCCCACTGTGAAGTAGAGGAATGTGGTGATGACAACTGCTCTGAACAGAGCAGTCAGAGTATAAAGGGCTGGCTTATTCAGCATTTGCTGTCCAATCCTTTTAGAAGGCAGAGGTGAATGGTGGTGGATCTCTTTGACAATGGTGACCTTCTGACTATGCTGGCTGCCTAGGATGTGGAAAGACCTCAACATATTCCAGAGTGTCATCTTCAATATATATGGGAGCTGGAATACTTGGTGTGGGTTCAAATGGATTTTGAATTGGAAATGTTCCAGGACAAGTCAAATGACCTGAATTGCCTATTTCCTGTGACTAACAAAATCCCAGACACGTTATGGCTTTAAACCATCCAGAGGTGGTGTTTGTTGCTGGACAGCTCGAGGGGAAAAATGCCAAACATTGGGAGTGTTTGTAAACACAAAAATTGGGAGATTTGTAAAGAATTGGGTCCTGTGGATTGTGTTACCATGATTTGAATGTCCAAGAAACTAATTCACAGTCTTGCACCAAGTCATGATGTAACTGCCTTGAATGGATGATCTGAGCAGACACCTTCAATATCCAGATTGGGATCAAGCAAGGTTTGGATAAAAACCCTTTCTGACAGTGGTGATTAATTTCATCTAAGATCAGGCTATATATCTGTTGCATTATTGCTTTAAAACTCCCGTGAGAATAATGTTTAAGAGTAGTTGAATAATACAATTGCCCTGGAGTTCTAATCATAAATTTTAGACTGAATTTACAAACAGGAATACAATGTTAGCAGTGATATTAGGCAGTAGTTGCGATTGGATGTTTCCCCACAGAAAAGGAGGGCAACTGGCCTAACCATCATCTCACCTAGGACATTACAACTGATTGTCAAACAAATTTTTCTGCTCAATTTACTCTATTCTCTGTGGAAGAGGTTTGAGTTGATGGGGGGCTTCATGTGAAAGAAATTTTCCTGTTAATATGAAACAAATATTCTCACTCTGCAGTTACCAGAAGACTTTACAGTCGCCTATAGTGAAGTTGGAGGTGAATTGTCAGTAGGAGGAGTCTTCTTGAGGATCTTTATTGCACAACCTGGTTGGGTTCTACGTAAACCTCGAGAATTCCTTATTGGACTGCTGGATAAACTCACGGAGCTGCTAGAAACAAATAATCCTCATGTAAGTGTGACCAGTGGAAACAGCATTTAATCTCAGAACTAGTGAATGTGCAGAGAAATTATTGATGACCTGTTTTCTGTAACTTGAAAGCCACTTTTGAACTTGTAGCAGTTGTTCACATTTAAAATAATGTAACTACACTCAAGTATGATAGCAACATTTGTGGGACATTATTAATATTGAAAAAAGACTGCCCAAATACAAGATGTTAAAGTTGCAGACTGAGAATGTAGATGGCAAATTAATTTCTATGGTGAAGTGTGGGATGTTACGTTTTGGTGGGATGAATGAGGAGGCCATCATACAGCGAAATAAAAGTCTGAATTGGCCAGATGGTCGAAGCAATTTGAAGCAGAAGTTCACAAATCATGAAAAAGAAGCAATGCAGTTACACCAATTCATAAGTGCAAAGAAAGCACTAGTGTCTATTTCTGTAGAAATTAGCTCTCTGCTTTTGACTTCATGGTGAACATCTATTAAACCAGGGTTTATGTCACATTTAAGAGTTACTATGCACGGACCAGAACTTCACATTACAAAAAGGATGCAGTAGAACTGGAGAGAGTGCAAAAAACAATTTACGTGGTTGGTGTTAGAATGAAGTGCGTGCAACGATTCGGAAAGACTGATCAGATCTAGGTCTTTTTTGAAAGAAAACACAGATGAACTGACGGAGGTCTTTAATAGCATGAAGGAGTTTGATTAAGAAGGTTGCAATCGTGGAGTGAGGGGAGGAGAGAGCTTATGACTGTGGGCCAAAAATGCAATTTAACTCATTGGAGACTTAGAAACTTTTTTTTACTGAGTGATGGGAAGTTGAAATTTGGTAACCCATGGAGTGATTGAGGCAGATGGCACAGATGCATTAATATGAAACCACATGGGTAAAGAGGGAAAAAAAAAAGGATTTCTCTGTAAGATGTAACATATCTCGTGTGTAGAATAACCCTATATACATGTTCGGCCAAATGGCTAACTTACATGCTGTAAAATCTCATGTAATAATGCCATAAAGCACATAGTAAACTGATGGCTTATACCATACACTTACAGCAAAGTCTAAATGACTTACCATGCATCTATATCATGAAATATTTATGCTTTGTGTGAGGAAAATGCAAGAGAGGCTGCCTTATTGAGTTGAGTAACTTTATTGTCTATCCTTATTGTATGTAGATTTTTGTCTCAGCATGCCACATTTCATTGACTAGAAAAGTTGTGTAAGTACATGCTTTGCACACATTGGTAATTGGTCTGTTTCTCTGCACAGGGTGAAACTTTAGAAACCGTTACCACAGCAGCAGTCTGCCTCTTCCATTCCCAGCCTCAGCTGGCAGACCAGGTACCTCCATTAGGCCACCTACCTAAAGTTATTCAGGCTCTGAACCACAAAAACAATGTCATCCCCAAGTCATCAATCCGGGTCATTCATGCTCTTTCTGACAATGAGGTAAAAATTTATTTGATTTCAGTGCTTCAATATCAACTTTGTTTTTCCAATTCTACAGATTTCAAGTTTTAATGTTTTTGGATTCTGCAGTTTCAGAAATATTCATTGCATGTATTGGGTTTGTTTCATACCATGTGAGTAATGCAAATGTATTCATCCTCACTTGTCTATTATTGTTTTGCCTTGCTGCTAAATTGTCATTTTATTTGTGCTACGAAATGGCTTCCATTGTCAAGCCCATGTTCCTCCTTACCTGAAATAAGCATAGAGTAAGCAATCTTTCTATCTGACATACTGTAGAGTAAAAGTCCTCCCTTTCTGCAACCTGCTACTGGACTAGTTCCACTACATTTTCACTTTTAGCAGATAAACTATATCTGTCCTTTTTGAGAGAGCCTTCCTAACTGACAAAACCGTTAAACAGGCTTATTAATGTAATCATTTGCAGACAGTACGCTGTATAGCTGAGATTATTGACAGTTGAATATGGTGTACAGAATTTGAAGGGCCAATTTCTCAGATGCTTTTTTTCTCTGCATAAACAATCTTTGTACAAATTGGACAAATGTAAGTTCAGGGGAGCCTGGTTTTCTAATAGCATGTTTTGTCAAGACAAACCCAATTGTGCTTAAGTGAAACAAGCTGGCATCTTGTGCTAATGTAATTGTTTCCAGAAACGGGCACGTTTTGAAGACCAGTCTGTCAAAGGCAGTTGCCTATAACCAGTAAATCTAGAGCTAGGGAATTATCCCAGGGATGTTGATGAGTGCCTTGATTGGATTGAATCATTTGACGAAGTTTGAGCTCTCAATCGTTGGATATGTTTCATTCAAAGAATCCTTGATTAAATATAATCAGAAATGAGTTGTCTTTCTCCCACAACTGATCATAATGCACACCATTACAACACCATGGTATTGATACGATAGTACCTTATCAATATTGCTAGACTTCCTTCCAACTTCCGTGGTCTCTCTAATAACCTTATGACGTGGAGTGTTCTTTTTACAGTTATGACCAGCTGGTAGCCAGGCTTTGAAAATGGCCTGTACTGTTCTCTATAAACTGGATTTGAGATTCAAATTTGATAGAACAAGGAATGAAACAATGTCAGTATATTGGTTGATTGAAATCTGCACCATGTGGAATCCTATCTTGCCATTTTGCCTGTATGCTGTTTTTCTCTCCTTTTTTTTGTCTTGTCAAACTTGCTTACTGCCACTTCTATTATGTTCTTATCAGTTAATTTATTGTTTCCAGTATTTTTCAGAACTGAAAATATTTTCTTTTACACAGTATGATCTGGATTCTGCTCTTTTTCATCCTCAAACTAATTTCATGTTTTTGTTTCTGTCTGAGCATCCTCATCCTCATCCTTATCCTTCCAGTCACCCCTGATCCAGTTTAAAGTACTATCTGTCCCTTTTCAGCTAGTGTCCCAGTTTAGCTGCAGCCTGTCCCAATGATTCTATAGAATTGAGCCCCTTTTATCCACAAAAATCCTTAGCTACCTTTTGCCTTTTTAGATTAAAATGGTTACTCTCTATACCCTTAGCAGAATTGCATCACTGTTCTTTTGCCTATCATTTATCCTGGATTATGAACATGACAGCCAGTTCTTCACCCTCCCTTTCCAGTTTCCCTTCTAGTCATTTTGAGATCTCATTTATTCCAAAGGCAGATAACGCACCCTTTGAGACTCCAGTTTGTGACTGCAAAGGATGATGTCGCTGTTCCCACACTTTCCTCATTATTGAATGCCCAGTTACTATAGCCACAATAATCTGCTGCTTTCTTCACTTCACTTCACTTCGCCATCCCTCCACCTCCCCTTCACAACCTTGGACTGCCACCTGCTCCTTGATATCTTAGTTAGTGTTACGGTTGCCCTTCCCACAGCCTTATACTTTCTCCCTGTGAGAAAAAGGAAATTATAGCTGTTGGACAAGATTAGGTTCTCCAGTCTGATGGCATCAATTAATGACGAGACAGAGAAAGTGGGGAAAGTAGATATTGCCCATACGTTAGTGATTCTTGTCAAATGATTACTAGAGTGCATTCACAATCCAGTTTCTTTTTGTATGCATTAGTTCAGACATCAAGAAGGGGATAACATAACTAACATTGCCTAAACGATTCCAGTGACATTAGTCAATGCAAATTATTTAGGGACTCTTTCTCCTGTAATGGTTTTTGTAAGAGAAATAAATAATGAAATGGTGGTTGCTTTTCAACTTTACTCACCCTTTAATAATTTCTTTCTTAAGTTATGTGTCCGAGCCATGGCAATGCTGGAAACTATTGGGCCTTTAATGAATGGAATGAAGGCGCGATCGGATATGGTAGGCCTTGCCTCGGAATCTTTGAATCGAATGTTCCAGAAGGAGCAGACTGACTTGGTAGCACAGGTGGGTAACTATTCTATTAGAGAATTTCATCAATCCGAGCTGCAATTTTGTAGAATTGGTTATTGTTCGTTGCTGGATGTAAGCTACAAATTAACTTCTGTAAATATTAGCATTATCAAGAGAAGGCCTAGTGAATATTATCATTCTTTTTCTCTATTTGCCTTTCTTTCACTGTTGCTATCAGACTCACTTCTGAGATGAATCCGATCACAAGTGCATCTTGGCGCAAATTGATTTTTCTCCTGTTTCAATTTGTCCCTTACCCCACTATTGATGACGTATATTGGCAAATAGTTTTTGGCACCAAAATTCTTGTTGCTAGACAAGTTGTTTATTATTGGAGTTAACCTGATGCAGCTTAGCAAGACCTTCCATTTATGCAGTACTATTTTAATATGAAAAAATATCCCAAGACATTTCTGACCAGAAAGTGATTGCTGAGCCAGAGAGAGAGTTTTTGAGATGAACAAAAGCTTAATCCAAGCAATGCCTTTTGAAGAGGGTGTTTGAAAGCATTGCTGGAAATTCCAGTCTGACCCCTTTAAAAGGTTTTAAGTTCCTATCGCAAATGGTGGGACAGGAGGAGGAAGGATGCATAAAAGATATCAGAATGGGTGTTTTAATGCAGCAGTTCATATCATTATGGAGGAGTGAAGCCAAAATGGATTTAAACGCCAGGATAGCATTTTTAAATTTTAAAGCCATTGTGTCAGTGAAATTCAGCAGGCACAAGAATATTGAGTTTGGAATAGGAAATAATCAAGTTATGGATCACTTCGAAGTTTACAAAAAAGGAAAACTGCAATGCTCTCAAACACCCTCTTCAAAAAGATTAACTTTCTCTTTGGCTCAGCAATGACTTTCTGGTCAGAAATGCTTTGGACCTATTTCATTAAAATGGTACTGTATAAATGCAAGATGTTGATAAGCTGCTTCAGGTTTACTCTAAGAATAAACAAGAATATTTGTGCCAGGAACTATTTGGAAATAGAAGGGAGTATGCAAAGGTAGCCAGCAACATTTGGAAGAGGATTTCTCTGCTGGATGACATTCTTAATTAGTAGATGGACTTGTGGGTTCCAGGCTGGCAATGTTACATGGGTAACATTTATAGAAAATAGTGTGTCAGAGGCTGCACTCTGGATCTCAAAATGCTGCGATTGCAAACAGTCTTGCACAGTCTAAAGCAGTGGTTTGCATGAAGTTGGAATCAGTAGCAAAAGTACAGATTTTGTTGTTGGAGCCAAAGGCAATTGCTTTACTATTGCTGAGAAGAACATGTGTTGTCAAAGCATTTTGTCTTGCAATCATGAAGACAATTTACGAGAAATGCTGTTGAGGGAAAAGAAGAAATGAGAACACGGTGTTGATTGGTTAGAAGTGGACTCTAGTAGAGATGTTAACTGGTATAATGTCCATGACAATGATTTACAGCTCTCTGCTAAAATTTAAATTCAAACTAGGCAAATTGTCTCTGGTTAAGACATTACCCTGTGAAATGAGCCTGAGAATGGCTGCCACCTATGTTATTGAATTGAAACAGGTGCAGTATGTGTATGTGCTTTTCTGTCTGCAAAGAACAGGGCCCTGTGTACTAATATATGCAGCTTCCAATACATGCAAGTATGTCTCTCTGTAAGCCTGACTGATGATCCTAAACTGGCTTTAACTGTTTTTTAGTAATGCTTTGCACACTCAGGATTATTTAGCAAGTATCTGATTTGCAGAATCACCTCTGATGTTGAACAGTTTTGCATGCAACGGCTGGTTGCATCCAGTTAAAACCCTGTAGTGAACGTCCAAAGGCAGTTGCCTGAGGTGATCTACCTGTCTTTGGGATGTACAGCCTACATTCTTATCAATGCACCACTGAAACTAACATACCAGACTGCTCATTTGTATTAAAGGCAGAATATTTTTTCTGTCTTAATGGTAGCATCCTTTTGTTTTGAGAAAGGTCACTTGTGTTGCTACTGGATTCATAGTAACTGTGTGAAACAGCTTACTACTTCTGTTGCTCAGACTTCGGAGATAGACTGGGTGATTTTTGGGACCAGTCATGACCTTATGCCTTTCAGTCAGTTCGTGCAATATGCATTGTGTAATGATTTGATTGGGCTAGCAGTTATACCACAGGGATGCTTTGACGTTCCCTCTTTCAACCACCAGCGTGTACTGTGAACAAATTGCTTGAGCCTTGTTTGAGGTTGCCAATAAGGCTGACTTATGTTACGTGAAGCCGTCAGATTGGTCTTATTAGCACCCTTGTAAACAGGACCTGAGCAATTTGTACGTGCACCTGTAGGAGTGCTAAAGTATTTATTGACCAATGAGGGTGGGTTTGTTGTAGACAATAGCAGACAACCTCCAGGCCAGTTTCTGATCCAGGCCATCCAAGAAAGGGAGCTTATTTGACTGTTCCAAGTCAAAGGTGAATCTGATCACAGGATGGAACTCATTAAGATGTGTAAGAAAATTCTGTCATGCAGCTGTGGATTCAAATGCAGTACATGTATTACCTATATATCAAATATGCAAGGGGTAGGAAGTTAGATGTTATTGCATCAAGAACACATTTCCTGTGGAACGCAGCTAGGTTGTTTGAGCGGTCTGGGCCCAGTGGGGTTCACATGGCAGCACCATCTATTTGGACAGACATGATATTGTTAAAACTGAACAAGTGCATGAGTGGCTAAGTGCTACAATGCAGATGTCTTTGTCTTCCTTGATTGGTACATTGTTAGCTTATTCAATGTCAAATGAGCACAAGGCTACTGCATTGCTATCAATGTACAAGTCTGTATGATCATAGCAAGTGTGAAGGAATCCTTCACTGTGCCTGTGTAGAAAACTAGCTCAAAACGTACTGCAGCAATTCACTGAACCATTGGCCAGTTCATGTGCAGAGCTGGTGATAGATAAGGTAGTACCTAAAGGCTCGTCATACACTGACATGCAGTGAGCTGTGAGAGCAAACACAGTCATATCATGTGGCAGGTCATTGCTCTTTTAATAGGTCCAGTTAGAAACAGGTTTTTAAACTTGCTTTTATAAGACTACAGAAATTGGAACAGATGTAGGCTATTTGGCTCTTCAAGCCTTCTCCACCATTAAATAGAATCATGGCTGATCACATCCACTTTCCTGCCTTTTTCCCCATAACCTATGATTGCCCTACTGATCAAAAATATATCTCAACTTTAAATGTACACAAGGACTCTGCCCCCACAGCTGTGTCAAAGAATTCCAAAGAGAGACATCCCTCAGAAGAAATTCTTCCTCATCTCGGTCTTGGAATTAAGGGACAGTAATTTGAGACTACATCCTTTCAAATAAGGCCAACCAGTTTTGCTGAACAGCAGGTCCAGTGGGTATGAATTTCGTTGGGAATGGTGTGCATTTTTTTTTTTGATTATAGTCATGTTGAGAGTGACTATTCCAGCTACTTTGTGTTTACTGATATGCAAGTCCAGGTTGGTTTTGAAGCCTCTCCATGCTGCCAGACATTTTTGAGGCCGGTGAAGATCGGAAAAGTTGATTTGAATCCCACAAAATGCACTCTATCAACATAGCCCTTTGGCTGTTGGTGACAGTACAGGAATAGACTGTACCTAACCAGACTGTGCTTGAAAATTCACAACATAGTGATTGACATCAGATATAATTCAGTGATTGGGCAGCGCTTGCTGACTCCTGTGAGAAAAATCATACTGACATTAAGTTTAGTATGTTCAATCAGGCTGACGGTGGGTGGGGGGGTGGCGCTTGCATGCATGAAAGCTATACATTAATACACATGACCTTTGCAAACAAAGAAAACGTGTTTCAACATAACAAAGTAGGTGACAGGCATTCTCAGGTTCATCTCACAGGGTAATGCTTTGCCCAGTCCATCAATTTGCCTGGTTTAAAAGTTAAACAAAGTTTGACTGTTAACTGTAAATTATTAGCAAATGCATTCTCCATGGCAACGCCTCTACCAATCAGCCCACTTGCCAACAAATCGGCGTTCTCTTCTCTTATGCAGCATGAACGTTGTTTTTCTCGTACTTTGGTATTTCTTGTAATAGTGCAGACAAAATGTTTTTTAAAAAAATATTGTTGTCTTTCAGCAATGCTCAATTTATATATTGCCAAAAGTCTATGGTTTTGGCTTCCCAATGGTAATTGGAAGAAAGTGAGCCTCATTCTCTACCAATGGTCACAAACACACAATACTAATAATGCATCCTCCTTTTGTATATGAAGTATTTTGCATTTCAAAGAAAATAGCTCATGGCTAGCAAATACAATTTATATTATCGCCTGCATCCAACATGTAGATAGACAGGGTAACAAGATCTCCACACTTCACTATTTGAAACAAAGTATTAGTCCTGAGTACTGTTTATTCGGGTAGCATTTGGCAAAATTATTCTGCAAATATAGCTTACAAGTCCATGTTCAACAAGATTACAGCTAGATCTTTATCTTGAGCTTTCATTGCTGATACGTGTAATAGAATGCAATATAGCAATGTTTTAATTGTAACTTACTTGGCAAACAATTCTTTTCAAATTATCTTTTCACTTTTTGTACAGCACTCTTTGTCACTAGATTCTAATTTTGGTACTGTGCTTGCTGTGTGTTAAATTTAAACTTGTGTTTGTTGAAGGGTCTGAAAGTGGAATTGGTGCCATATCTCCTGCGGCTATTAGAAGGAATAGGACTTGAGAATGTTGAAAACCCAGCTGCCACAAAAGCACAGATTGTAAATGCACTTAAATCAATGACACGGAGTCTGCAGTATGGTGAACAGGTGAGATTTCTTTATATTGTATCATACTCTAGATACGTTGAATTGGTGCTGAGAAAGCAGCGTTAGGTATTTAGGATGATGTACTCATTGCTCTGATCATAAGTTTAGCGGTGACCCGGAAAACCCAAGGAAAACAGCTATGAAATAGCTCTCCGATCTAGTGGAACAAAGAGGGATCGTTCAATTTTTAAAAATATATATCCCTTACCAGTCTTTTTATTTTTAATTCCTGCGCTCCCCCAAATTAGACGAATCACCAAGTTTAAAGGAAGGAGAAAGAAACTACAGAAAAATGAGTATGTTTTCAATAACAGCAGAAACTGTTGTAAAAACCTTTTCTATTTGTGACCAATTGCTGAAACCACATTACATTGAAGGCTGTCCATGTTCCTCCAGCCATGTGTTGTGATCAGTGCGGTCAATTGTTAATCACACTTCAGAAAGCTTACAATTTGTACATTTCAGCAAATGTTCAAGAAGATCCAAAAGAAACCAAACCTGAATGCCCACAGGCTCCTCGTCACTAATAAGCGGAACACATTAAACAGTTGCTTGCTTCCTGGGATTTTACCCTCAACATTTTATTGGCCATCCTTTTTATTCTACAAAGATGAATCTGACAATTTTATTTGCTTTTATCAGTTGTTTGTGCTGTTCAGCTATTAAATACGTTGCATGTGAGCTCAATTGGTTATAGAAATCAGTGGTGAAGCTGGCTAAATTTGATCACTTGTCATGTTCTACTTTTGTTGTCATTATGTTTTGATTAAATGAGCATACATTTGGCCTTTGACCTATTACAAGTAGATCTACAGCCAGTGATTCATCTGACACTAGCCTGCAGTATTAATCTTTTAGTTAGTGATATGGCACTAGAGGAATCCACCAGCAGTGAACTATTTATCAAGCAACTTGGATAACGACACTCCTAGCCTCAGCAAGTAATACATTGTTTTCAACCACAAGTCACAAGTTAGTTGTATATCACAATTTAATGTACATAAGGAGTTCCTATAAATCATCATGGCATAAAGTTAAACCACTGGATATCTAAAATAAGAGCAAGCTTCTGGAAAAAGCGCAGTAGCTTTTTCAGGTCCATTCTGTAGTCATTACTGAGACAACTTATTTTGTGGATTTCTAGCAATTTTGTTTCAATCATGAATGGCAGGCAGTTTCAAGGAACTGAAGATCATTTGGGGAAAACCTTGTTCTAACTGATCGTGTTCTGATTTGTGGTGGAAAAATAGTTACTCCTATTATCTTTGTCATGAGCCATAAGAAAACGATAAATTCAAAGTAACATTGGGTTTAAAATTCAGCTGCTTAATTGTTGCTGCTTAAACTGCCATTCAACATTCCATATCAGTATTTCTGGCATAGTACAATTTGGAGAAATTGAATATTTGTTTATTTAGCCTATTCTAGGAAGCTGGTTAAAATATTTAAAAAGCTGTCCTTGTTTAGGTGAATGAAATTCTGTCTCGTTCCTCTGTATGGAGTGCCTTCAAAGATCAAAAGCATGATTTGTTCATTTCTGAGACGCAATCGGCAGGATATCTTACAGGTGAGTAAATTCCTTACTTGTCCTTAGGCTTGCATCTCCAAGTACGCTTGTAATCGTGAAATCTGGCAAATGTTGCACAAGTAAACAACTTATTTGTGGTATTGAAGAGAAATATAACCTATTTTACCTTGTAATATTTAAAATTTACTCAGTGATGCCCTTTGAAATATGTATGCAATTCAGCTACAAAATGTTTTAAGGGAAAGTTTTTTTGGTACAAAAGATACCTTCCTGGTCATCAGATATTTGGTTCAAACAAGCTGCATAATCGACAGCTGAGTCCCAATACTTTGTGCTGCTTTTAGTTTCTTTCATACTTGAACTTAGCCTCGGAGCAAACAAAAGGTTAAGTTGAGCAATGATTTTTACAGAATGAAATGCAACTTTTATTGTTGGCTGTTTTAGTCCCCTTACAGTTAATGAATGCAAGATAGGATATATAGGATACAGTAGGGATAAATGGGTAATCTCTGAATTGGTAAGATGTAACTAGTGGATTTCTATAGGGACTAATGTTGGGGGCTGAACCACTTACAATCGTTTTAGTGACTTGGCTGGTGTGTAGCTGGTAAATTTACTGATGACCCAAAGATCAGAGAAGAAAGTCTGAAGACATGAACCTTTAGAGATATGGGCAGGTCAAGTCAGTAAGCAATAATTTGGTAAATGGAGCATAGTGTGGAAAAACGTGAACTTGCAGAACTGTATGGTACAGAGAGATCTGGGTGTCCTCATCCACGAATCACAAATTAGTATGCAGATACAGAAAGTGATTAAGAAAGAATAAAATGTTGTTTATTGTATAGGAAATGGAATATAAAGTAGGTAAGTTTTTTTTGCCAGGACATTGGTAAGACTACATCTGGAAATATGATTGCATTAGAAACAATGAAAAATTAATTATGCTGATTTCTGGAATGAAGGGGTTGTTTTGTGAGAAAAGGTTGGACAGATTGTTTGTGCCTCATTCTTGTAAAACTATAAACAATCTTATTGAAACACAAAATCCTGTGGGGTCTTAACAGAATGGATGCTGGGGAAAAAAAGTACTTCCTATGGGAGAGCCAGAGCTAGGAGACACTGTTCAAAAATAAGGTGTGGTGGGGTGGGGCGGGTGAGGGGGTAGGGGGAGCTCCTGTTTAGAACTGAAATGAGCTTCATTTTTCTGAGTATTGTTAGTCTAGGGAGTTTTCTTTTCTCGGGAGCAGTGGAGGCAGAGTCATTGAATATTTTTAATGCTGAGTTAGATTCTTGATTGGCAAGAGTAAACAGGTATAGGTAAAATTGATCAGCCATGATCTTATTAAATGATGTCCTTTGGTCCCTTGAACCTACTCATTACTATGGTCATGGCTAGCGCTAAAATATACCAATGATAACAAGTAATCCTAACAACAGAAAGTACAGGCTAGAGAGAGATTGGCTGCTCAAGCTTGTGTAAATCTTCATTCCCCTTGTGTTCATAACAGTAAAACCAAAAATATGAAGTGCTGGTGTGTAATAAAGATGAGAAAAGTTTCTGATTTATAGCATAAAACAAGGGTGGAGAATGTTTAGAAATTATAGTATCAAACTTGGCACTTTGTACCTCCTGCTATTCCTCTGATCCCATTCACACCATCACTTTCCTCTTCCCTTTTATTCTCTTTAATTCAATCTTGAATGATGTGATTGAAAAGGCCTCTCACCTTTTGGTGGCTGTATGTTCCAAAAATCCTTTGACTATGAGCATTTCTAACCTTTGCATAGGCTTCAGTACTGACGCAAAACTTGCGTATCTTGTTACTTTCTGATTTAGAAGATGTTATTTTGCTGTTTACTCTTAAAATGCTTTAGAAGGAAAAAAAATACTTCTCATCTAAAGGTGAGAAAAATAGCAAAAAAGTGCCGGAACAAAAATGTGATTTAACATAAATGCTCCAAATAAAACACACATGAAAAATAAGAGATTAATGCCACAATTATTTAAGGGAGGAAGAGAAATTTTAATCAAATAGTTGTGGAATGATAGTGGAATTTATCAGGAAAAAGTGACTGTGCACTTGAACAAATAGAAGCTGATCAGAAAGAGTCATAGGTTAGTGAAGAGTGGGCCATATCTGATTAACCTAGTTGGATCTTTTGAAGATATTAACTTGGTGAATAAAGGAATGTCTATAGGGGATGTTTATAGGGGAAATGACTTCCTGAATGTATTTGACAAAGTTCCAGGATGCTGGAAACAAAAAGTACACAAATTGGAGCCACTCTTGTGGTGTGGATTGATAATTGGTTAGGGAGTTGTAGGGACCGCACTCTAAACAACGGGATGTGGTGCATGGTGTTCCCCTGGGATCTGCACTGGGGCATAGTTTTTTGCCACGTGCCATGAGGAATGGAAAGTTTATATCTGCGTTTGCAGATGATGGCAAGTTAAGAGGCACACAATGTGTGTAGTGGGAGCAGGTGCGAGGCACAAAGGGACATAAACAGGTTAACAGAAGAATAATCAACACATTTTGGATTTGAGAAAGTCAAGTTGGAATATGTTCTAAATAAACAAGGAGCAATGGAAGAAACTGGGAATAGGCAAGGGCGCATGTAGAATATGTAATCAAATGGTTAATGAAATGTTGACCTTTTATAATACAAAGGGAAGGAAGTAATATTTTGGTTTTATGTGGTTTTTGTCACAACCCAACTGGGGAATTGCATTCAGTTTTGTGTACTGCACCCCCTGGCTTTGGAAGGGATTTGGTGCAAATTCCCCAGAGTAATAATTTAAAGAATTGAAATGAGTTTGCTTTTGTTAAACTTATTTCCTTGAGTTTAGACTGTTGGAGGATAATCTATTTGAATTGTTTTGCATGATGAAGGGATTTGATGAAACAAATGTAGCAAAACTATTTCTACTATTACTGAAAACCAGCCTTTTTGGGGTGAAACCAAGAAGCATACTTTATGGAATTTTGGAATTCTTTCTTCCAAATTACTGTCAATTGTTTGTGTGAAATCAAGATTGAAGTTCACCTTGTGTAAGGGAATTGATTTTATCCATTCGCAAGTGTGGGTATTAGTGGCTAGCCAGCCTTTATTGCCCATCCCTAATTGCCGTTCAGAAGGTGGTGGTGTGCTGCTGCCTGATCTTCCATCTTTGGGGTGTAGAGAGACCCTGAATACTGCTGGCAGGGGAGTTCCAGGATTTTGATGGAGCAGCAGTGAAGAAACTCCAATATAGTTCCAGGTCAGGATGGTGCATAGCTTTGGAGGGGAACGTACAAGTAGTGCTGTTCCTATGATATGTCGTTGTCATTCTGGTTAGCTGCAGGTTTGGAAGATGCTTGTGAACAAACCTTGTTGAGTTCTGGCTGTGTATACTGCTGCCTCTGAGCATCAGCAGTGGAGGATGTAGACCAGTGATGGACACATGGAATTGAGATACAGATCTATCATAAATTGAATAGTGAAGCAGATTAGGCTGTCTGAATGTTATACTCATTCTTCCGGACTTGTATCTGATCCATACTTAATCTTCTCTGCTGTAGTAACTACTTTCCAGGTTTATCTCTGTGAATTCACGTTTTCTTCATATCCTTCCTCTCATAGGATGGCTGTGATTGTACATATTTCCGCTGTTATCTTGGGCAGGTTCATTACTCCTTTTTAATTTTGTATCCAATATCGTTTTAGGCATAAAACTAGACCAACATGACAGTCTCTGTAGAAATCCCTGTATCTTAAAGCATATGCTGAAGCATATATTTTGGGAGTAGTGATTTCTGGGAAACTGCAGTTCAAATGCAAAAAGCCAGTTTTGAAACGCATAGAAATGCCATTGTAACTGAATGTGATTCTGTTATAAGCTGGTGTAGGTGTAGTAAAGATTCTGATATTCCTGTTGTCTTTGCAAAGATCCTTTCTTTGTTCAACCACTTCAGGCTGCATTTTTGAACTGTGTGTGGGAGCAGTGACCTTTTGAAAGGCAAGCTTAGCTTTTTGTTTGATGTTGTCTGGCATGTACTTCAGATCTAGCTGCAAGTCTGCAATCTTAGGTACATCAAATTTCCCTGTTTAGAAAACCTGTGGAACAAAGTACTGCAAATGAAAGTCCAAAGTGGCAGATCATATCATCTGCCATTGATCTTGGTACCTTTTTATGACCACATTATCTTTTCAAAAGAATCATTTGTGCTCAACTCTTGGTATAACTAGTGTCCCCAAGCCACCAGTACTGTCTTCCTCCAGATTCTGATAACTTTGTGTGTGAGATCTGAGGTTGCAACACTCTGAAGGTGTTCACTGATCTGTGGAAATACATCAAATAATTGCGTGAGTATCCCTTCTATAAGGCTACCTGAATTGTATTACATTTCTCTGCCTCTAGTCCAAGGCATCATCAATATACCAACTGTTTGCTCCAGTCATTAATCTGCAGTGTGCTCCTAGAATAGAGGTTTCAGTGGATGATTTTGAGACAATTAATTTGTATGCCACATGCTATGATTAGCTTTTGAGAAAGTGTTGGCTTGTGTGAAGGAGGTTTTGTGGGAGGTGGATAGGCCTCATCATTATGGTATTTACACAAAGACCTCTTAAAGGATATCATCAATGGAATTGGTAACTGTAGAGATTGAGGTTCTTCCCCTCCAAGAAAGAAAACCTGCTGAGGTGGACATCAATATGGAAACAACTGCACAAGATCAAGTAGAAAATGGAAACTAAAATGGCTGAAAATAGTCAGTAGTAAGTAGCATCTCTGCAGCGAAAATGAGTTAACACTTGGAGTTCCATCAGAATGCGATAACAATTCTAATTTGTGTTGAAGCCCAATTGTACGAAAACGAACTGACAAATTAAATTTACATATTCAGTGCAGAACTGAAACGTTTCAATTTCCATAGTACATGGTGAATTTTTGACCTTTTGGCAAGAATCAATACAGCTCCTGATAACATTGTATCGATGAAGATGAATCTTATTGATCATGGTTGAGGGAATTTTGCATAAGTAACAAACAAATATCTGATATATTAACTTTTAATGTATGCTTTCCTGCTTTTATTTACTTATCTAATACAACTTTATGCTTTACTTTCTGCTTTCCTCTGTCATTTTCTGTGTATATTTTCTTTTCCCTAGGTGTCTCACCTTCCCTCCTTACTGGTACTAGTCCCCTTCATCTCAGAAGTGGGCTTTAGGCCTTCTCTGGCAGGCACAATGCTCAGTTCTTAAGTGTGAAGCAGGTAGATAACATTCTTCCTCAGTGCATGCTTTTGAGGTTTGAAAATTGTGCACATAGCTAAAACCTTCTGCAAGTCAATGTTTTATGTGGACTCTATGAAAAAGATTGAATAAAGTCAGGAGAGAATGAGGTAATAAAAACAGTTTTGAGGTTAATGGGATTTGTCCTCTGAAATGTAAACTTGTGTTCATTGGTGTAAACTTGGTGTTTCCAGAAACCAGTCTGACTGAAAACCAAAAGAACTGCAGATGCTGCAAATCAGAAACAAAAACAGATTGCTGGAAAAACTTAGCAGGTCTGGCAGCATCTATGAAGAGAAATTAGTTAAAGTTCTGTGTCTGGAAGGGTCACCGGACCCAAAACGTTAACTCTAATTTCTCTTCTCAGATGCTGCCAGACCTGCTGAGCTTTTCCGGCAATATGTTTTTGTACTAGTCTGTGACTATAACCCAGACTACCCTGTGTGTCTTGTAATGCTAAATTCAAGAAATGTTTTCAACTTTTTATTTCATTTTGATCTAGGTCCTGGGATTGCTGGCTATCTTACTTCAGGGGCAATGTCAACAGTAATCCCCAGTGGCCCACCCCCTGTAGATAATGAAGTGGTTAACCTGGCCAGATGAAATGAGATCTACACTCCTTGCCTTGAAGATTGAACCAGTTGCAGTCATGAACCACTCACTTTTACTACGACCCTCTGAACAAATACAACTATAAAGAAGTGAACTTTCTTCTCCCACTTGTTGCATTTGCAAACGTAATGCTCTCTCGTTTTTATTTGTAAAGTAATTTTTACAAGTGACCCAATCTGTTCATTTTAAAAATAGTATGGATCAGAGATAGAAGACTCAAGTATTCTCTCTTTGCACCTGGTATCTCTGACTGTGAATCTAAATACTGGATTTTTTCTTAATTTTGCAGTTGACCGTTTACAGTTTTTGTGTTTATAGGGTAGCACAAAGATGAAATCTTTATCCAACTACACATCTCCCTGGCTGCCATTTTAAAGGCACGATAGGAGGCAAGATTTTGTGGAAAGCAACATTTCCATTAATTTAACCAGTTTCCTAGATCAGGCCAAGGACCACTGCTGATTATGCTTGCTAATCTTTAATGAGTCAGCTTAGTACAACATCATTGTAAAGCATTGTATAACTGCCTTCTATTTCTGATTGAGAGAGAGTTTCAGAAAAATGCTAACTTGGACATTCACATATTATAAATACTTAGTGTAATTGTGACCTGTGCTATATAATACCAATGTGTAAACTTTCTATATTTGAATGTACAATAGTAAATCAGTCCTACTTGTACATAAAAATTTTAAGAATAAAGTACAAAGGGAATTAGCATCCTGAAGTGTGTAACGTTGTACCATCTATGCAGTACTGATCTGGTTTGTTTACTTATCTTAGATTGGTATTTTGAAGCTTATGAGAATTCCAGTGTAGTAATCTTTATTACCAAAATTTCCATTTCAGCTTGTTTTGAGAAGTGGTTTTGCTGCTTGCATATGTATAATACCTATAAAATGGTCCAAGGTGATTCAGAAGAACGTTAATGGGCAAAATCTAACAGCTGCATAGGGAGGAGATATTAAGAGAAATGGCAAAGAAAGAAATTTGGTTAAGATTCCAAAGAGCTGCTTAACTAAGGAGCTAGAGGTTAAGGGAGGTAATACCATTGTCTGCGTGCCTGGCATAAGACTTCGAAAGCAAGCTTCTACTCTGATCTTTGGCACACCAAGTGATTATCAGGGAGGCAGAGGAAATACTTCAAAGATGTCCTCAATTTCCTGGGAAAGAAAATGCAACATCCCCACCAGCTCACAGGAATCTCTCGCACAAGACCATCCAAACTGGAGAAGAGGAGTCTGCAAAGGTCCCAACTATTGCGAACGTCCCTCACAAGCCTGGGTAAAAGACGAGCACAAAGAGAAGTAATATTCAAACCTGGACATTCCAGCCATGCATCTTCTCAAACATCACATGTCCTGCCTGTGGCAGAATGTATGCATCTAGCATTGGACTGTTCAGTAACTTCAGGACCCACAATACCAGTGAGGAAAATGGTCATAATGAGGGCCTGCCTAAAAAGTAGTATTGTCAAATATTCAGTGCGATCCTCCACAATCTCAGACTTTTTCCTTTGTGCTTTCCTCTGAGTGTTTATTTCTACATTCTGTCTCCTGTAAACATCCTATACAACATGACTCGGATATTTTGAAGTGTACAATTCAAAGAAGCTGATGCAGGTGCATATATTTATTAGATTTGATTCAATCTTTCTTTACAGTTTGAATGAAGACTTAAGGCGTTCAGTCCATTCCTCCAGCATGTTTTAAAATACTTTTTGAGTTTCATCAGAAAATGACCTCAATACATGACTGGTCTGATACAACATTGTGGATAATTCTTGCAAATCATTTGGAGTGTTCACTATTACTGAGTTGAGTCTGTGGTGCCCATAATCTAATTGTGCTCTCCAGAGATGTAGCATGAGATCTGAGCTGGATATTACATCTTGGGATAGGCTCCTGCCAGTTTTCTAGAGGCAAGCTCAAACATTGGGCAGGTTGAAACTTAATGCTTTATATGTAACAAAGCAACACGTGTAAGAGTCAGATTAAATCTTGTGATTTGGCTCAAATTTTCTTCAATTGAGAAAAATGTGACATGATGCTCTTTCCATTTTTGAAGTCGGTCTGACCTCTCACATATTTTAACTTGTTCTAATCATCTGACATCACAAAATCTGAAACAAAATTAAAATACTGCAGAGGCTGGAAATCTGAAATGGAAACAAAACTCCAATCTGGGAGGAAAGAACATCAAAAGACCATTTTGAAAGAGAGAACTCCCAGCTTTCAGATGTAGCAAAGAGATGTGACAGCTTTTAACAAACCCGGTAGCTTCTGCTGAAAGCTAAACTAAAGATCCTGGTTCTGTGGGAGTCCCAAGGCATCGAGCTGTTTACTCTCATGGTTCTGGTGGACTGCTCAGAACTCTGTCTTAAAACCTCTTCAAAAAAAAAAACCAGGACAAAATAACCCCTTAAATTCACAGCATTATCGCATGCAGTATTTGTGGAGAGAGAGACAGACAGTTAATGCTTTTGGGTCCAATATGACTTCAGTTCTGAAGAGACATTAACTCTGTTTCTCTATCCACAGATGCTGCCAGACCTGCTGAGTTTTCCAGCATTTTCTGTTTTTATCACTTGTACCTTGCAGTCTCCCTGTTTTTATTTAAAACTTCCATAGTCAATTGGAAAGACAAGGTATTCAGCAATCCATTCACAGGTTTTCCTGTAGGTCAGCAAAACAAAATGACCATTCACTCCCAAGCATATCTTAGCAAGACACATATGCTTCATTGATATGACTGAAAAGTTTCACAAGCTGAATGGCTGAATAGTGATGGATTTTGTTTTGAATCCAAACTCATTGAGACCTACCTTCTAATTCTTTTTAGCGAATTGGAAATTCTTACCTTTTGACATTACTAACCATTAAATGTGCAAGTATATTGAGAAATGTAATTTATGGAAGGGAAAGGCAGTAAGTTATCATTTTCTTTGCATTTGAAAGGTGGTCAGTGACATTAACTAAACAGTTGTTATGATGCCAAAATGGCTAATTTGGGTAATTTATCCAAGAAACTGGGGACAATTTATTGGAAGTATGAATGCAATATTTAGGAGGAACTGAGTGTAATTTACCAACTTTGCAACTGTTTTGCTGCATTTCAATCACTTCCAAGTGATGCCAGTTTGCTCGGTGAACGTGTGCTCCTTATGCCACCTAGAGGAGGTGTTTTAAGCCATGTATTTTAGACCATCTCATGGCCAAACAGTATCTCCTGCTCTCAGTAAGTCTAACTTCCACTTTGCCTTATGACCTGTCCCTTATGACTTTAGCTTTTCCACCTTTAGCCTGCTGGGTCCCAATATCTCAATAGAATGCCCTCCTGTGATTGTTTTGCAATTTATTCCTTAAACATGAGATAAAGTGTGTTTTATATGCTCCTTTTTTCTGGTGTTAGCCAGTTGCTGGTCTATCACTAGATTACCAACTCTACTTGAACGTTATTCGTGGAGGTTACTTTATATGTATATGTATATGTCTGCATCTGCTCTATCCATGCTATATCTCCCCATTACCAATATGTTTATAACAAATGTTTTATAGTACTCACCAGACCAATAGAAAAAAAAATGCTTATTTAAAGATGAGTATAAATTTCAGCCAGAAAATGACTATAAGTTACAAATGCAGGGATGTGGGAAAAGGCAGGGGATTAGCACTAGATTATAAAGCACATACAGGCACTATGGGGCAATGGCCTCCTGTACTG